TCATTGGAAGGACGATGTTGAAGCTGAAACTCCAATACTTTGGCCACCTGATGTGAAGAACTGATTCATTTGAAAGGACCCTGATGCTGGGAAAGATGGTGGGAGAAGGGGACGACAGAGGATGAGATGGCTGGATGGCATCATCGACTCAATGCACATGGGTTTGGGTGGACTCTGGGAGTTGGTGATGGACAGGGAGGCCTTGCGTGCTATGGTTCATGGGGTTGCAAAGAGTTGGACATGACTGAGCGACTGAACTGAACTGACCTGAGCATCTTGATGATATTGAAATTCCTACCCAAGAACAGGGACTATCTCCATTTATTTAACTAGTGCTTTCCTGGTGACTCAGATAGTAAAGAACCTGCCGATAATGCAGGAGACCTGGGTTTGATCCCTGAGTCAGGAAGATCCCCTGGAAAAAGGAATGGTAACCCACTCTAGTATTCTTGCCTGGAGAATTCCGTGGACAGAGGAGCCTGGTGGGCTACAGTTCATGGGATCGCAAAGAGTAGAACACGATGAGCAACTGACACTCACTCAAGTTCTTAGGTCAGTTTTATAATTTTACTCATATAGACCTTGAACATAATCTGTTAAATTTGTCTTTAAATATTTCTTTGGGGGGAGTGCTAATGTGAATGGTTTTATGTTTTTAACTTCCAATTATAATTGTTCTTTGCTGGAATGTAGGAAAGAAACTGACTTTTCTATATTAACCTTGTAATTTGCAACCTCACTGTAATTGCTTATTAGTTCCAGGAGTTCTTTTGTTAATTCTTTTGGATTTTTTTTTATTTAAGCAATTATGATGTCAACAGAGACACTCATTTCTTCCTTCTCAATCTGTAAACCTTTTATTTCTTTTCCTTGTCTTATTTCATGAGCTAGTACTTCCAGTATGATCTTAAAAAGTGGTGAGAGGAGATGTCTTTGCTTTGTTTATAATTTGGGTGGGAAAGGTTCTAGTTTCTTCCATTGCATTTTAAAACTTGTTACTATAGAGGAAATATATTGAGTTTTTCATATCACCTTTGAAATAGATACCTCAATTCTTTTGCCACTTTTAGGAATCTTTCAGATGTTTCTATTTTTTCTAGGCATGCAATTATATAGTATGCAAATAACTATATTTTACTTCCTTCATCCTTATTAAATAGTGTACTTGTATCTCACATCTAATTGGATTGGTATGTATAGTGTTGAGTTTTTCCTAAGCTTTATGAAAATATGTTTAGGATTTGTAAAGTTTTTTGTTGACCTTGGGGATCTGTGTGTGTGTGTGTTTGTGTGTGTATAAAATGTTAGAACAACTGGACAAATGGATGTCTACCTCACTCCATACAGTAAGCAAATTCTAGGGCTTCCCTGGTGATCCAGTGGTTAAGAATCCATCTTGCAATGTAAGGGTCACCAGTTTATCCCTGGTCCAGGAAGATCCCACCTGCTGCAGAGCAACTAAGGTCGCGCACCACAACTACTGCGCCTGCACTCTGAAGCCTGTGAGCCACAACTACAGAGCCCACATGCAGCAACTACTGAAGCCCGCACACCCTAGAGTCTGTGCTCCACGACAGAAGCCTCTGCAAGGAGAAGCCTGTGCACTGCAACTAGAGGCTAGCCCCTGCTCCCTATCACTAGAGAAACCCTGTGTGCAGCTGTGAAAGCCCAACACAGCCAATACGTAAATAAATATTAGAAGACAAACTCCGAATAGATCAAAGATTTACATGTATAAATCTAAACCATAAAGTGATAAAAATGAAGGAAGAAAATATGATGTATCCTTCCACACTCTCAGGGACATGGATGCTTCCAGAACATGACACAAAATCTAGAAACCAATGAAGAATTGGAGTTTAATCATCACATAACATGCAAAATATTTTAATTAAATTTTGTAATCTGTAGCACAAAACACCATAAACTCAAAATACATACACTGTATACTTTTAAAAGTCCCCACATTCCCAAATTAAATTGTTCATATTGTATCTTAAAAGGTGCTATAGGTTAAAAAGGAAAAGAAAGTGAAAACATGTACTGTTATTTAAATAGTCACAGAAAGAAAAGAAAATATAGCTCTTGAACATATGCTCATGTAAGTTCACATAAGTTCAGCTTTTCTCATTTTAAGACAAATGCAAATTAAAACAGTAATCTGCCCCTTTTTGCCCCAATCAGATTGAACATACTGGAAATATGATAACACATTATGTGGTGAGACTGTACATGAGCAGGCACCATGTTCCATTGTTGTCAGAAGAATCAATTTGTTCAACCTTCAGAAAGAGTTATTTTGTAATAATAGCAAAATTAAAGATTCACATTTTGCATAGCTAAGTACTACTGTAGAAATTGATACTATAAATATATTCACATATATGTGAAAGTGTGTGTATAACATATATTAATTGCATCTTTATTTGTAATAACAAAAGATTAAAAACAGGCTGAATACCCATAACTCGGGAATTGATTGAATAAATTATAGTATGTACAAAAAACGGAAAACCATGCAGCTGATAAAGAGTTGAATCTGTAAAAACTGATAAGAAATGAACTCTAATAGGTATTTTCAGGAAAAAGTGCAGGGTGCAGAAAACGTGTGAGTATACATATACCTATGTGATTGGCACATATCTATTACATAGACAGATAACAGTGGTTACGTCTTGGATCAGAAATTGATTTTTTGCGAACAAGAAGGAAGAGGAATTTTTCCAATTTCCTTTACTGTTTTGAATTTATGTCATTTATGCATGTACTCTATCAAAAAATTAATTAGTCAGAAATAAAACCATCCATACATTGATGTTATATAATACTTCCCTTAGAAAATGGACCATACTTGTTATCCCTAAACATTTATTTCAAAATAAATAACTGCCAGTATTTTCCTGATTCCTTATGGGAGCAGTAGAATTTTAAGGCAAAATATTCTTTTTCTGTTTATTTAAATTTTCTTTTCTTCCAGGCCCTAAGCTGAATTGCAGGTAGATTGGAGTGACCTCTGAATATTTCACTAGTTCACTTCATGGAAAGAGAGTACAAATTTAGACTTGTATACCCAGTAAAGAATCCGCCTGCAGTACGGGGGACCTGGGTTCAATCCCTGGGTTGGGAAGATACCCTGGAGAAGGCATGGCAACCCACTCCAATATTCTTGCCTGGAGAATCCCCATGGACAGAGGAGCCTGGCAGGCTGCAGTCCATGGGGTCTCAAAGAGTGGACTCAACTGAGCGATTAAGCACAGCACACCCCCTTGTTTCCAGTCACCCACCAAAAATATGGTCAAAAACTCCACAGGAATGGGAATCTCCCTCAGTAAAATTTGAAGTTCCTGTAAGACCTCTCAAAAGATATATGGCAGCAATTTTAATATTGCAGTTCATATACACCAGAGCTGCAATTGACTATATCATAGTTTGCTGACCTTAATGAGTTAATGATCTTCCCTCCTAGCTCAGTTGGTAAAGAATCTCCCTGCAAGGCAGGAGATCTGGGTTCAATTCCTGGGTTGGGAAGATCCCCTGGAGAAGTAAATGGCAACCACTCCAATCTTGCCTGGAGAATCCTATGGACAGAGAAGCCTGGCGGACTAGAGTCCATGGGTTACAAGAGTCAGATACGACTTAGCAACTGAACCATGAACCAATGAGTTAATGTTGTGTCCAAATGAAACTTGTGGCCAAATGATAGCTCAGGCTCTGAGAAGTTTTGGCTCAGTATTATCTCTGAAATTTGAGCTGATATTAAATATGCCTTAAAACAATACATTTGGGATTTGGCCTCCAGCATCTGATCAGGTCTGGCAGCTATATAGAGTCAAGAGTTTTGCCTCCGGTCCTTATGTTTTGCACTATAGGATTATAGCATCAGCAAGAATATCATTATTGCCTTTAGTGAAGGAAAACACGTCAGTGTTTGCGCTTGTGGACTGTCTTTCTGATTACTTTTTCCTCTGAAATAAGAGAATTCTGCTGTCTCCTGTACCTACAGTTATCTTCTCCCGCCCACAGCCCAATCTAGTAATTTCTTTTCAGCCTAGACTTTCTGCCATTCTTAGTCATCTAATTGTTGTCTGTCTAACCTTAGACTGTCTCTTTCTATATGAATTTAAGTAGTCTGACCATAGCATGACCAATGCCATGACAGGTCACAGTTCCATTGTCTTTGTCTCAGAATAGATGAAGGCTCAATCGGGACAGCCATGGCTATTTGACTGGTCATTAAATCTGGCTGCAACAAACTGTTCTGACTGGCTTGATCAGGAGCCATTTGTGCAGATTAGACAGTTGCATTTTATATCCTCTCAGAGACAACTCCCTTTCCACTTCATCCTGTTGATGAGTTAACCATGGTCTCTATGGGGCTACATCTTCATCTTCTGGGTGGCTCACAGAGTGAATAGCCCGTTTGGGACAGGGTGGTATTTAGCCAATGTACTTTAGTTAAGGCTATACTTGAATAACTTCCTTAAGTTATGGCACAGTTCCTGCCTCAGCAAAGCATAAGGATTGGATTAATAAACATGGGACATTTATAACAAAAAAGCTGAGATGGAAAGTATGTTTGTTAAGCCAAACTCATAGAAACAGAAAGTGGAATGGTGGTTGCAAGAAGCTGGGGGAGGGGGAAATGGACAGTTAAACTATTTATTGACATTAAGTTTCAGTTACGTAAGCTGAATAAGTTCTAGAGAGCTATATGACTTTGTGCCTATAGTTGACAATACTGTCTTGCATATGTAAAAGTTTGCTTTAAGGGTCATGCTAAAGATCTCAAGTTAAATGTTCTAGCTACAAAAAAAAAAATTTATATTTAATTATTCCATTTAGATTTAATTGCAAATGAACTTTTCAGTCCTCGAGTTTGTATTGCATAACAGGAGGTTGCATATATTAAGATCTTTTAAGCTCCTTAAAATATCTGTATTCTTTCTCTTTAAGACTTCATATGCAGAGTAAATGGTGATTAAAATGTGCAGGATGACAAGATGGAGCAAACAGTGCTTGTACCACCAGGACCTGACAGCTTCAACTTCTTCACCAGAGAATCCCTTGCGGCTATTGAAAGACGCATTGCAGAAGAAAAGGCTAAGAATCCCAAACCAGACAAGAAAGACAATGATGAACATGGCCCAAAGCCAAATAGTGACTTGGAAGCTGGAAAGAATCTTCCTTTTATTTACGGAGACGTCCCTCCAGAGATGGTGTCAGAGCCACTGGAGGACCTGGATCCCTACTATATCAATAAGAAAGTGAGTGTGTTTTATCAGGCATATTTTGCTGCTTATTGCCTTATAGTATACCTTAAACTGTTATAGCACCAACATATGCTAAGTTAGCACAAACTCTAAGTATCATTCTCTTTGGGAAATAGAACACATTTGCATATGCTCTATGCATATATATGACAAATAAATTGATTAGATCATAACAGATGGAGCTGTCCCAAATGTACACAAAAGATACCTAAAAATAAATGTAAGTCATAGGCAGCTATTTTGACAAATTAAAAACTTCTCCACAGAGACTGTATTTACTCTTTATGAGTTTTCTGTACTTGAAAATCCTGAAATTGTCACAAGTTATAGAGATCTCAAAAATGTTGGTATTAATTTCTCATAGAACAAAATTTGATACCACGAGGATTTTCAATTTTTATATTATATATACATATTATGTTATATATAAGTTAAGTTCCTGAAGAAACTTTTTCATTTGGGAAAAAACATTCCTATACAAACTGTTGTTTAAACAATTATTTAATATTTTGGTGGGAATATATTAATATTGGTAAGGATTAACCAAAATGTAGTAATCTAAAAATACATACATTTGAGTATTCATGCTTGAAATGAGTGTATTAAGTACCTATCCTTTCATTATGACCATGATCTCACCAAGCCAAGAAGAAAAGTATAAAAAAAAGATAAAATAAAGTTATTATATTGATTTTAGATTAAATTTATGGCTTGTAATTTGCGATACTTTATTATAGTTTTCACCTAAAACAACATATTTGTTAACTCTTGGTGGAAAGGTATAGCACAAAGATTGTAATTAAGCAAATGAAATGTTTTAGCTAAATATGGTCCTTAAAAATGCCCCCAAAACTTTTAGGGATGTTTTTGGTTGCTGGCACAATCACGTTAGTTTTTATGAAGTGCAGAAGTTTGGAATTATGGTATGTTAATTTAAGGCAGTTTTGTAAATTGCTCCTCATTGACACTGCAGCTTTCAGAGGTAAAAACCTCTTTTATGTTCAGATTTTTTTTTTAACTTTTCAGGATATAGCTGGTTTAAGTATAACAATTTTCCTTTTTAAAACTGACTTGTCCATTTTACAGTAATGGAAGAGATTAATCACTTTCAATAGATTTATTATCTTTTATTTAAATTTGTTTTTTAACATTGTAGTATTAAATCTTAGTAGGTAAGCCACTATCTGTTTCATAACTGCCATTTAAATTAAGAGAAAAATTACATTTTATCATTCAATCCTTCAGAAATTAATATGGTATCTGAAAAGCTAAAACCCATATTATTCAGTCTACAAGGGGGTTATTTGTATTTTTTTAAAGTAAAAATGTGATAACATTTTAACTTATTTTAAATTACTCTATTATTGAAGTTATCACTCTGATATGTTCTAGCCAGAAATTCATTGCAATAAAGTATATGACTTTATGTATGACTTTATTTATAACCATTGGACATATCCAAGCTATTTAGAGCTGCTATTATCATGGATTAGCAGGCTCCATCCTAAGCAGGCATTTTGCTACCCCTAGACATCCAGTTCCCAGCTATCCAGTAGAAATAACCATCTGAAAGTTATTAAAGTCATCCAGAATCTACTACTTCATCAAACAGGATCCACAGCTAGGATCCCGGATCCTCTGCCATGTCCTTATCTGTAAACAATAAATGCATACATAAAGACCAAACTAATGCGTGTGGACAAGGGTGGCTCTTCTTCAAATAGAAACCAAATCATCCAATCAATCTTTTCCTTTAAATTGAAAAGTTTTTAGATTGATAAAGTTGTCATCTTGAGCAAATGTCCCCAGACAAAGCAGTCCACAATTGGTTTATAACGAATGAGATATAACAAAGGATATAAAGACAGATGGAAAACAAAATGATGTAAACCCTTCCAAATAGTTAAAAGAAAGATCTTGAATCTGAGGATGAAAGACAGACTCTGAAGGAATGATTATTCAGCCAGATTCTTGTGCTGAAGTAACCCTTATAAACTTTGTTAGGTTCACATTCAAACTTGTCTTTACCATATCCTTATCTTCAAATGCACATTGTGTGAGGAAGGAAAAACATTTTGACATTTCGGAACAAATCAGTGTTCAAGCAGCACAACCTGATAAGAGAAATATTGTTATCAGAAAGGAGGTTTCCCCAAGTTGAGGCACATCCATTGCTTTCACTTTGAGCTGACATCAAGCAAGTCTCCAAATGTAAGTCATTCAACAGAAATACAAATGAAACTTTTTGTAGGACTGATATCCTTAAAAACTAACATGGCATGCTTGAGTTGTGTGTTTGAAATTTCCTTTTTTTTTTTAATGTTCATGTTTTAAAACTTTCTATAGTTATGTGTACAATCTTTTCTAGTTTTAAATTTTCTTTCATAATTGGATTGTTTCAGTATGGAGGAATAGTCTTAAATTCTGAATTTGTTTCCTCTGATTGATGGTATAATGCTTAGAAAAATAATAACCTTTTAAAAATAATGAATATTTCTTATGATATTTGACCAATTTCATTTTAGTGGCTTGGGTGTCTAAGGATGGCAGGGTGATCTTCATTAAACAACACAATACACATACACAGTATTCCTGGCATAGATAAAGGGTCTAATGATGGAAGTGTCACTGGGGAAAAAGCTTCCTAGGATGAGATTTCCCATTCTCACCGATACTGGGGATGTGGGTTTTATTGCCTTTGTGGGTTGTAACATACAAATATTAATCAGGCTAGTGATTCCCCTAAGGCTTAACTCAAGTACAGTACTTAATATGTCAGTTGTGTCTATATATCACATCTCTATAGTTTCCTTCTTAAAAATGTATAGAATAAAGCAAGCCTTTTATCAGAATGGTTGGAGAGGCTTTGCTGTTTTAGGTCAAAGTGCAGTGGTGCACGTATATGACAAATTTACCTGTAAGGAATAGAAAGGACACAAACCACAGCGAAGCTGTCTGTGATCTTCTACAAAGACAATGTCAGTGAGCTTATGGAAATGTCACTGCTGATGGTATATTTTCGGATGGCATATGCCCACATATTTTTATCTCTTTTGCCCCAGTTTAAAATGTACTAATTACATAATGTTCAAAATTTCTGCTGAGATTGTTAAAATAGTTCAATCCATGGTCAATGGTGTTGTGGCAGTAACTGGAAAATTAATATCAACAGTCTCATGAACATTCATAGCACATGAAGCGTTCCAGACCCTCAGATGTTTTAAGGCTTCAGAAGTCCAAGGTAAGAACTAAGGAATAAATTAACAGTGCTATCAGAAGAGACCCACAGAATTTTCCACACTGTGTTAACTTTGGTTCCATGGTCTTCAGAACATGATTCCAGGTTGGGTTCTTTTTTCTTTGTTTATTTACTGTGTGGCAAGGCACATTTTAGCTTGTGAACACACCTTTATTTCCTCGTGGGATATTTTTTTTTTCCCCCACAGTTTCCTTTCATAGCTTCGGTTGATATTGCACCATTTGGCTATACACTCAAATTCTTCACCCACTCTTTATTATAGAAAATTTCTTCCTTCTCATTTTCTTCTTAAAATTACAGATGACTCATTAGTATCCTTTTGACTGTGACAGTGTACTGGAAATAGAATGAGGTATTTTAGCTGTGCAGTGAAAATGGATGTTTGTTAATTATGGAATGTACAAATGTATCCATTTAAAAATGTACTCTTTACTTGACTGTCTCACCAACCATTTAGAGACAATTTATTCTCCCCTTTTACCAGCTCTTCTAAAAGAGGTGCGTGGCCCCTCTTTATTGGGACTGCATGAAAAATCGGACAGGACCTTTTTGATTTTAAATTCATGCCTGGTTTGTCATCACCACAGGAGTTTTTAATTGTTATGTGAGGTAGGGAGAGTTATTTGTTTTGGTTTTAAACAAATTGGGATTAGGTAGTTTTTCTTACAAAAGTAATTTAAAAGAAAATCAGAATAATAGATGGTAAAAGCTCATGATTCCATGAATTCTCATCTTTATGATTTTTCTTTGTATATCATTAGCTACTCTAAAATTACCAGTCACCCAGGCTCTCCCTCCCTTAGTTTCAGGGCACTATAGTTCACTTTTAGATCTTTCTCCTACCCACCCTTTGTTTCTGCCTTATGTCCCTTCCTTCTTTGTCACCTCCCTGTCTCTGGCTCAGAAATAATCCCAAGTTGATGAGGGTGGTAGTAAATTAATGGTTATCATTTATTAAGTACCTGCCATATTAGTAAAACTTCAAACAAAAGTGACCAAACCTCAGTGGAAAATAGTTTTTGAAAACAAAGAATCAAACAAATAAACGGGTATATGGGGTAAATCTGGTCTTACTACCAAAGGATCCAGTACCTAAAACAGTGTCATCAGGACACAGTCCTTTTGCATTTCTCACCGTGCTTCCACCTAGCCCAGCTGCATTCACAGGCTGGTTCTTCCCACAAGATGGTAGAAATAGCCATCAATAACCCAAAACTAACTTCTACAGCCTAGTAACTCCAAAGAAAAGAACTCATTTTTTCTTCAAAACTTCTCCTGGAATTCATTTTACTAGGTCACATAACCTATTCTGAACCAGCCACAGTAGCCAAGGCTTTGTGATGATCTCATTGGCCAGATCAGTGTCACATGTTGACCAGTGTTGCCAAGGGATGGATCAGCTCCACCCAAGCCATGTGGCCAGACAATGAGGCAGTGGTTCTCTGTAAAAGGAAGAGATAGAGACTGTAAAGAAGGTGTGCTAGACAAATAAAAGCCAAGCTCTGTCTATGCTTTAGGAAATGTACAGTTCTTATTTAACCAACATGCCCTTCCAAGATAATTCTTATCTTTGTTTTAAAATGATGGAACTGAGGTAAAGTAATTTTCCTAAGATCATAGAGCTATTAAGTAACAGAGACCAGATTTCAAACCAGATCCTTCAGCTTCCATGTCTTATTGCCATGCTACTCTGGATTTGCAGTTGTCACACTAATGAAGAGAAGTCAGTGATGGA